TGTCCGCCCATCCCGACCCCGTTCCCGTTCCCGTTCCCAGCTGGACCAGCTGGTGATCGCGTCGGCCGTGGAGAAGCGGGAGATGGAGCACAAGCACGCGCTGATCCAGCAGCGGGTGAGCCCGGCAGCAGCGCCCGCTGTTCCTGCTTCTCCTGAGAAATTCCAGGTTTTCCAGGAAATCTCAGATTTTCCTGACTTCGCTGGAAATTCTGGGGTTTCCTGATTTTCCTGAAAAATTCCTGATTTTCCTGGAAATTCCGGGGTTTTCCTGGAAGTTCCGGATCTTCCTGACTTTCCTAGAAATCCAGGATTTTCCTGACTTTCTTGAAAAATTCAGGATTTTCCTGGAAATTCCTGAATTCCCTGACTTTTCTGGGAATTACGGATTTTCCTGACGGTGCTGGAAATTCAGGATTTTTCTGACATTCCTGGATGTCCCCAAGAGCCTCATGGCTCTTGGGTAGCTCCAACTACTTGTTATTATTAATATTATTAAAAATAGAATTTTATTATATTATTATTATTATAGTTTATAGTTTATGTTATTATTACTATTATATTATATTATTATTTATTATTACTATATATTATTATTATTAATTTATTGAGACTACAATTTCAGAATAGATTTTAAACAGACTTTAAAATTATTTATTATTATTTATTATATTTATACATATTTAATATTATTTAAAAGATTTAAATTCATTTAAATTTCAACAGAATAAATTCTGGTTTATTCTCAGAATAGACCCTGAGGTATCTCAGGGCTTTCCACCCTTGGCAATGATTCCTGACCAGAAGGTTGGGAATAGATAATGAATTACTATTATTATTATTATTATTATTATTATTATTATTATTATTATTATTAAGAGTAAAATAATTTATTTTTCTTTGCTTCCTCTTCTCCCCGTGGCCCTGCAGACCCTGCTGCAGGTGAGTGCCCACCTGCATCCGCTTCCTGCTGTGTTCGGCCAGGTTCAGCCACCTAAGACAAGGAGGAATAAAGAAAAAAGGGCTGAGACCCAAAATCCCCAAAACCCCAAAAGGGAGGAGGAGGAGTCAAGGAAAAAAGGGCTGAGACCCCAAAACCCCAAATCCCTGAATCCCCAAATCTCCAAAAGGGAGGAGGAGTAAAGGAAAAAGATCTGAGACCCCAAATCCCTGAAACCCTGAACCCCCAAAACCCCAATCCCTGAATCCCCAAAACCCCAAATCCCCGAATCCCCAAAACCCCAGTCCCTGAATCCCCAAATCCCTGAATCCCCAAATCCCTAAATTGTTTCCTGGCAGCCCCGGGATGCTGCTCCATGAGCAGGGACAGGACCAGAGCTGCTCCTTCCTTCCTTCCCTCCTGCCCGAAATGAAGAAAGCATCTCCACCCCGATCCCAGAAATCCTGTCAGAGACAGAAATCCTGCCCCAAAACTTTGGGATTTTGGCAGATTTGTCCTTTTTTCTTGTTCTGTTAATCCATCTCCGCCCTGATCTCAGAAATCCTGCCCCAAAACTTCGGGATTTTGGCAGATTTGTCCTTTTTTCTTGTTCTGTTAATCCATCTCCGCCCTGATCTCAGAAATCCTGCCCCAAAACTTTGGGATTTTGGCAGATTTGTCCCTTTTGGATATTTTATTAATCCATCTCCACTCTGATCCCAGTGCTCCTGCCAGTCTGAGTCCCTTTCCCTTCTCCAGGATTTCTCCTACGACGACCCCAAGATGGAATTCAACGTGGATGCCCCCAACGGGGTGGTGATGGAAGGTTACCTCTTCAAGAGAGCCAGCAACGCCTTCAAAACCTGGAACAGGTGAGGAATAATTCCAGTTCCACCTGATTTAGGCTGAGCCTCTGCCCCACTTCCCTCCCTGAGCGAGATCTCAGGATTTGCAGCTGAGAAGTTCAAAGATGGATCATTAAAATAATTAAAATAAATTATAAACTATTAAAACAACCAAAAAAAAAATCAATCAATACGTTGAATAAATAAATTAAATAGATAAATAAAATAAAATATGAAAATCATTAAAATGAGGTCGGTTTGAGAGGTTTTTTTGTTTTTTGGAATTTTAGTGCTTTATTACAATGAAATCATGACCAGGATCCTTCCCTGCTTATTCTGGAGGGAACATCAGCCTCTTCCCTGCTTTTCCTGACCTCTGAATAACACCAGCCTCAACAGCTCCAAGGTTTTTTCCCTGCCCTCAGATCCCAGGTTTTTGCCCAAAAATCCCAGTCCCAGGTGGGCAGCAGCCTCCACACAGCTCCATCCTTGTCTTTATTCCCAGTTTTTCCCCCTCCCATTTTTTTCCCTCATTTTTCCCCCCTGGTTTTTTCCCTTACATTTCCCCCCCATTTTTTCCTCCCACCTTTTTTCCCCCCATTTTCCCCTCCCACCTTTCCCCCTCCATTTTTCCACCCATTTTTCCCTCCCATTTTCCCCCCTCCTTTTTCCCCCAGCTCCTGGATGTCCATTCCCACCTGGCTCCACCAGGCAGCCTGGGGCACGAGGAATGGCACCAAAATTCCCTGGAATTCCCTTCCCCTGGGAAGCTTCAAAGAGAAGGAATTCTTACCCAACCCCTTCAAAAAACTCTTTATTCCAAACCTTTTTGGAAAGGGAACACCCCAATTTTATGGCATTAATTAATTTTCTTATTAATTAATATTTTTTTCCATGCAAACACAGGCAGTTTCTGTGCGTGAACACTCTGTTGAAACAATTAATGTATTTATTTTATTTATTTAATTTATTTTGTCCAAATCCTAATGAAAAGTTCAATTTTTAATGGGGCAGTGCTGATGTCTGTCCGTGTGTCTGTCCCCCCTCAGGAGGTGGTTTTCCATCCAGAACAGCCAGCTGGTCTACCAGAAGAAGCTAAAGGTCAGTGAGGCTGCCCCAGCTGACAGCAGGCGATTAATTTTTTAATTAATTAATTAATTAGTTATTAATTGCTTTGGCTGGGGAATCCTGCAGCGAGCGGGGTGGCAGGGGCAGGGGAGGGAGAGCAAGGCCATGAGTTGGAATAAGACAGCAAAGATTTATTACATAATTATTTATTAAGTATTTTTTACTAAATAATTATTTATTACGTATTATTATAATTATTATTTATAGTTATTATTTACTTATAATTATTTATTCCTTATACATTATTAATAATTATTTATTTATTAAATAATATATTTATGTAGTAAATAATTACTTATTAAGCAATTATTTTTTAAGTGTTTATTAAATAGTTGCTTATTGAGTAATTATTAATTCTTTTTAGATAATAATGTATTAATTATTTATTAAGGGTTTAATTATTTATTCAATATTTGTGTATTCAATATTGGGGAGGGTTTGAAGGATTTGGGAAGGAATTTGCAGGGTTCGAGCAGGAGGGACTTTGGAGATTTTTGGGAAGGAATTTGCAGGGTTTGAGCAGGAGGGACTTTGGAGATTTTGGGAAGGAATTTGGAGATTTTGGGAAGGAATTTGCAGGGATTGGAAAGGAATTTGCAGAGTTTGACCAGGAGGGACTTTGGAGATTTTGGGAAGGAATTTGGAGATTTTGGGAAGGAATTTGCAGGGATTGGAAAGGAATTGGCAGGGTTTGAGCAGGAGGGACTTTGGAGGATTTGGGGAGAGTTCAGAGGGTCTGGGCAGGAGCTCCCCAGTTGTGCCCCAGCCCCCCAAGCCCCTCCAGCCCCGTTTTCCCCCCAGGACGTGCTGACCGTGGTGGTGGAGGACCTGAGGCTCTGCACGGTCAAACCCTGCGAGGACATTGAGAGGAGGTTCTGCTTCGAGGTCGTGTCCCCCACCAAGTGAGTCTGGGGCTCCCTGGGCTGGGCTGAGATGGGATTTAAGCAGAAGCTGACAAATATTGATGCCAGAATCCTTTGGGAGTTGCTCAGACATAACCATAAGCTGGATCTGATTGTATAATTATATATATTTAATTATAAGAAAATATTCAGATTAAATTGTTATTAGTTCTTGATAAAATAATTATCTATTTATAGAATATATTCCATTCTATTCTTTATATTGAGAATTTATACTTCATATATAATGCCCACCTTTTAAAAACAGTTTCCAGACCTGCATGGAGGGTTTGGACTGGGAGCACCTCTGGCTGTCCAACCTTGTGGGGTAAATTTTTGCCTGGAAGGTTTTGAGTGGCAACACCCCAACCCTGTGGGGTAAATTTTTACTTGGAAGGTTTGGAATGGGAACACTCCAACTCTGTGGGGTAAATTTTTACCTGGAAACTTCAGAGTGGGAACATCCCAACCTCGTGGGGTAAATTTTTGCCAGGAGGGTTTGGAATGGGAGCACCCCAACCTCGTGGGGTAAATTTTACTTGGTAAGTTTGGACTGGGAACATCCCAACCTCGTGGGGTAAATTTTTGTCTGGAAGGTTTGGAATGGGAACATCCCAACCTCGTGGGGTAAATTTTTGTCTGGAAGGTTTGGAATGGGAACACCCCAACCTCGTGGGGTAAATTTTTG